GCAAAAAGAAGAGAGAGAATTATGTCGAATTTGAAAGGTACAGAGAATCACATACGTTTTACTCGTTAATTCAATCGAAATTTACTTGACACGTTCAATCATGAGGATATGAGATTCGAGTTTAGGACTTTGACAAGCATCGCTAGGCCAATCATTTCAAAATATTAGATGAATTTTTGGGGACATTTTAGACAAAGTTGAAATCAAACTCACTGTGTCTGTTCCTGTGATGAATAACTAATTTTTTTTGATTTGTGATATTTAATCTTCTGTTTCTCTATCTAACTATTTGATTTGAATTGTCCTATCAATCCTCCACATTTGCCATCGGTCGGCATATCACCATTCCATTGGCTAGTTGTTTTAAAGATATGTTTTAATGTGTAATACCAGTGCAATCGTATAATTTAAGAATTCAACTTCAAGATGTAATCTCTACTTTCAAAAAATTGCTCATTTGACATGTTATGAATGAAATATAACTAAAATCAACTCATGAGACTTAATTATTTAAGAACTCCATAATTTATGAGATCCGTAAGAACTTCTATCTTAAGGTTTTATCTTACATAATTTTTTTCTATCTAATTATAATATTTGATGTATTGAGTAACATATATTCGCTTCATAATGTGAAACTTTTTTATGTGTATCTTTTTGTTTCATAAACACACAAAAAATGTTTACATTGTGAACTGAATGCATGTTAAACAAATATATATTTAATTATTACATTAAGAAAATCATACGAAATAGCAGATAATATACCTGTTCTTAGAGATCTCACGATTTAAATAGTTTTCATAAAAAAAATATTGAAATTGTGTGCCCTAACTGTATTTCCAATTGATTGCACTTCGATGTAACCCCTTAAGGCCCCTTCCTGACATTTTATAGGCCATGAGCGAGATGTAAAACAAGGGCTCTTGATAAGTACAAAAAAATCTTTAATATTATCATTTTTATCATTAAAAATAACACTGAATTTAAGAAATACTAATAATTCATATAAAACTGTTTTAATAGAGTACTCTTACACACAAAATCAATCAATAATTATTTTTAAATTAATAGTATCTATCATATTAATTTTACATAACACTATCAACCCGTTCCATCATAAAAAAAACATATCATATACCTTTTAATATATAGATTGACATCATTTGGGGCTACAATGTTGACTATTCAGAGTAACACTCTATGAATCAATATAAGTCAGTTGGTTTTTCATCTCAGCTCAGGTAAATGTTTTTCATTACCATTTTAAACTTTTAGGGTAAAAATAAATTTTCTCGGAACCAACAATATTGGAATAAAAAATCCATTTTGATTATAGCTTGAGATATATCCTTGTTTTAGAGATAGGAAAATCCTTAAGACTCATATATTCAATATTAGATAATAAGAAGTCAATAATGTATGAAAAACCAAAGGTAGTTTTGAAACCTTGAATATAAATATAAGTTGGACCGCCTCATATGCTTGGTAATTTTTTTTTTCCAAATATAGGAGTTTTCTTAATTAATAACTAGAAATCTACTATATTCCAATGTAAAAATAGAATTCACACAAGCGGAATAATAAAAAAAGTCAGTGAGAGATGAACAATGAAGAATATATCAAGGTTTTATAAACAAGTAGTTTTAAACCTTCGTACTAGATAAAAAACTTGCAGAAGCACTAAGCCTATAAAATAAATGATCAATTAAATTTTTTTTCCCACATATTTCTTTTCCAGTATAATTAATTAATACATGTTTGAGCCTTTAATATAATACAACGATCTTTTTGGGTCCTACTAAGTACTAAAAGAATTTGTATCTTTGATTTACTATTTGTGTACCTGTGCAATGCGGCGGGAGCCGTGAATATTGATGATTTTGAAGTTTCACTGGTTTTATTAGAGAAAATTTAACGATGATATAAGTTACACTTGGTCTTTACATATTAATACAATTTGAATAATAAAAGTTATGGTTCCAATTACAGTTTATCGATGAAAAAAATTGTATGACACTTTAAAATCCAATATATTTAAAATCCAACATATTTAAACGACTCCACAAATGTGTTTGATTTACACCAAGAGCAAAGAATCAAGACATCGAGAGCGAGACCTAGAGTTCTAGAACAATTGAATGAGAGAACTTTTAATAATTCATGATGAATTTAATTTTGAATCTCACATTGGGGGATGAGAAAAAAACATGGAGGTATGATAGAGTAAAGATATGAGTGAAATATGTCAAAAATATCTTGGAATATAAAAAAAATGTAATAATGTGCATTGTTAACTTGTAGTATATGTTATTTTAATTGTAGATTAAGAGTTTTTAAAACTGAATGCATAAAGTAGTAGTACTTAATACATTATGAGTTGTTTTTAAGTTTTCTAAGACTTTATGCATAAATGTATAGTACTTTGTGTATTAAAAATTGTTTATAAAACTTTTGATAAATTTGGTTTATAAGATAGTATAGATTAATTTTTTAAACTATTACTGTTATATCATAAAATTTTGAGCTCCTATTTTTTATGGGCTCTAAACACACGTCCGACGCATCCTCACAGGAATATCACTACACCTTAATTTTTTGTAACATGCAAAACTCCAATCATGTATAATTTATTTGTGAACTATATTTCACGTTCATAATTCCTATTTACAAAATATAATCAATATAAATTATTTTTAATAAAAATAATCAATATAAATTATTTTTAATAAAAGATAATAATAAAATTTGAAAATAAAATATAAAGTGAGCGAGTGATACGATGTAGACCCATCCGTTTGAATTGTTGGAAAAAGACATCCTCAAATTTGTTTTCTATTGATTGCTTGCCTTTTTGCCAATGTCTTCAATTATTCTACTCTAGGAAACCTATTATTTTTTATTTTTTTATTAATCTGAATATCCAACCCGTTATGCGAGCCTACTAATTCTATAATAATCATCTGTTTTGCAGATAGCTCGGAGTCACACATTTGAACCTCCGTGGCCACAAAGGGATTTTTATTTCTCTTTGGATTTGAACCTGAGATCTCCTTGTACTTTTGATCTTTGGAGCCAAGCTCAAATCAATCAGACACCACCCTTGTGGTTGGAAAGCTATTATTTTTGCTCTCTATTCAAAACCAAATCTATAACTAGAATCAAGCACGGATGAGATAGTTGGATTAATGCTCGACACGTAAAAGGTTGCAGGTTCTACAGAGATAGAACTCACAATTTCAGGTGAAATTATAGACACAACTACCACTACAGATAAAATTACCAAAAGACACTTATCCATGGGAGATGGATGATGAACGTGGAGCCAACTAGACATATAAAGGAGCAGGCTCGAGAGCAGGACTTTAAGAAGAAGGGGGTCGAAGATGGACTTGGATGATGGAAAAAGAGTCACTTTTTGTCAAGTTTTCACTCATTCTAATAGTATTGTTTTTCTTTTATGATTTATTTTATTTCTCAATGTCACTTTATTTTAAAAATCGTTGTTTTCGTCCCATTTTATATTCATCGTATATTTATTTTAAAGATAAAGGTTTTGGAAAAAAATACATTTTATTTCTTAAATCGACATAATTAATTTTTTTCTAAATAAAATTCTGCCTTTACAGCTAATCCATCTTAAAGATAAACACGTTCAAAGCAGGGATGAACCCATAATTTTTTTTCAAATGGTGGAACCATATAATTAATATAATATAATATACATCTAAAAATAATTACAAAAAATATGATTTTATATATAACCGATAAACAACTCCTAAACTTGTACCTACACGTCTTCATCTTCTGAAAACAGTCAATATATACCCAAAAATAATTACAAAAAGTATGGTTTTTATAGAATTGAGAAACAACTAAATTTGTCATCGGCGTGTCTTCATCTTTTGGAAATGATCGGTGACATCTTCATTTTTAACATTACTATGTGCTTTCTTTTCTATGGCACAAATGAGGGCATAATTCAAAAAGTCATCACCAATTTGATTACGTAAATTTGTCTTGACAAGCTTCATCGCCGAAAAACATCTTTCAACCATAGCAGTTGCAACAGGCAAAACCAGTGTTAGCTTCAAATAACCGGTATATTAAAGGATGAGAAAGATGCTTTCTTATTGCCACCATCAATTTGGCGAGGTCGGCAATACCGTTTAAGTTGGCAAATCTGACATCGTTATAAACAGAATGATAGTAGATGTCAAGTTCGTGCTCAAAAATGATCATTTCCTTGTCTTCAAAATCTCATGGATACATCTGACTCAACTTCAATAGGCTTGATTTGTTAAACTGAGAAAATGAATTGCATGGATTCAAAGCTGCCGTATTTTGAAGCAAGTAGGTGTTTATCTCATCAAAACGATCACCAAACTCTCGAATCTACGTATCCAAAACAGTGTTGAATATATCAAAACGATCACCAAACTCATACCACTTACCTAGGTCCGTATATGGTTCAAAGAAATATCAGGATCCATCGATCTCAACTATTTAATAAATAAAGTTATATAATTATATGTAAAAAATAAAAATATTAGTGTTGAATTTTGTTGATATTCTTATTTTATTAAGATAAGACTGATATAACGAAAAATAGAATAAAATAAAATAAAATAACAAAGGTCGTTAGAAGAAACTTTGAATCCTCTCGTTATGACAAGCATATAAATAGGAAAGGGTCATCAACGGTGGCCACTAAAACTTGAAACCGGTATTAGGGAAAACGAAACTCCGGCGGCCGCCGCCCTTGAAACCACCCATTTCATACCTACCCACTTCCACGTCGGATTTTTCTGACACTTATCACTAGGTTCCTTGTATCCATACCCGTAATTCCTTCAATATTCATGGGCATTTTCGGTAATTCATCCTCAATCTCTCTCTCATGCTTTATATAAAGCTCCGCTCTTCTTCCCACTTTCTCTCTCACCTTTCACTTCCATCTTTCTTTTTTTGGCTCTGGTTTCCAAAACAAAATTGAAAATTTTGATCCTTGTTTGTCAGCTCAAGTTGCGGATACTCATAGATAATTATTTGATATTGAATGAATGCGAGCTGATTCCGTTCATATTTGCTCAAAGTCTGATCAGTTTGTTTCCTTATTTGCTGTTTGTGTTTGGATTCTTACGAGTTTAATTATGTATTGTTGTTCACGAATCACGAAAGATACAACAATCTGAAAAATCCGTTTGAATTCAATCACATTTGTTACTTGGAGATACGGAATTTCATTGGCTGTTTGGGATTTGGTTGAGTGCGAGCCGAATCTGTTCAGATTTGGCTGAAAGTTTGATCCGTTGGTTTAGTTGTTTGCTCTCTGTTATACAATCTGTTTTTGGATTTGTGCGAATTTGATCATGTATGGTGATGGTGGCTCGTCGGATGCGATTGCGAGAGATATGAATTCTCTGCTGCATTCATCTACGTTTAAGCATCGATCCGAAGGTGAGTTTGCGAAGATCAAGGAGTTGATTTCTTCAGATTCGTATTCCAACTACAATGATCATGAGCATAATCACAATCACAATCACAATCTCAGTCGGAATCAGAACCAAAATCAGAATCATCAGCGACATGACCTCGGCGGACAAAATGAAAGCTCATTAATGCGCTACCGCTCTGCTCCAAGCTCCTTTTATGCGAATCTACTCGACGAAAGTGGATGCGATGATTTTCTCGCTCCTGTAGACACCTCGTCAAACCACGAGCCAGAGGAAAGGTTTTTCTCCAGTAATCAGCAGCAACAACAGAAATTCAGATCGGATTCCCATGAATTTTTACAGTATGCATCAACATCAGCATCTATGAAGCTAGAAACAAAAGAAGCAGGGATTCAGAAGTTGGATCTCCCGCCGGTGTCTACGGCCATGTACGGTGGTAGTTCACAGCAAGCACCACATTTCTCACCATGCAACGGTGATGGTAACTACACTAATCATAACAATTTGGGGAGTTCGTCAACATTTAGAACGATGAATTCAACAAGCACGAATCTCATTAGACAGAGTAGCTCTCCGGCTGGACTTTTGTCCTCCTTGAACGCTGAAACTGGTAATTTTCAGTTTTTTATTAAATCACTTGTTTATTTCAACTTGCAAACCTTCAAACACACTCCCCACTCACTCTACACCAATTGTTGTTCTCTGAAGTTTAGAGAAGCTGTTATAATTATTATTTAAATTTCTATTTTAATTTTCACACTTTCTAAGTCATCTTTGTTTATTTCAACTTGTAGACCTTCAAAAACAATTAGTTTATACTCCCTCCAATGAATTCGATGCATTGTTTTTTTAATCTTTAGAAAAAACAATTTCCAATAGAAAAGGTTAAAAGAATTTAATTGAAAGCCTATTGGTGGCATTTGGATTATTGCTATATGCATCCTATACAAATCAAATATTTTATATTAAAATATATATATATATATATATATATATATATATATATATATATTTGATGTTGATGTTTGTGAAAAAGATATTAACATATTGGAGTTCATTTAGTCTTAGGATGTATTTAAGCAACCATTTTGTAATGATTAAGCTATTAACTGCAATATAAATAAAATGCTTTATGAAAACTTAACATAAAAAAAGTTGGCCAAATCTTGCATAATTGTAGTTGACTTAATTTGTTTGCCTTTTAGATCTTAGAAAGATCAATAAGAAGTCAACTAAAAATATAATAAAGGGTTGTTAACTGTCAATATTTTATATATAGAATTTAGTATGTTATTTAACAATGTTTTATAACGTATAATACTTTTTAAAAGCGTTATGCATCAAATTTACATGGCATGGAACATAGTGAACAATTGTTATGGAGTACTTTATGCAAAGTGTTGTATGTGTTGTTTGTAATTGAGAACGATTCTTGATGTGGAAGCTAGTATGTTTTAATATGTTCTTTAATATGAATAGACCAAATTGGATTCTCATGATATCCGGTCTTTTGCAGGTAGGAGAGACGTGGATAAAGGCAATCCGTCAAGCGGGTTGAATAATAATCATATCAGTTTCTCATCACAGCCATCTTTATCTCCAATGTACTTGCCTCAAATTGTTGAAAACACGAATGAAATGAACGATTCCCCATATAGGAGCTTGAAAAGGACAAGAGACGGTGATTCAAAGATGTTCCATAGCTCTATAACGATGGACACAGAGGTCTCCATTGATTTCTTGATTCTAAAATATCCTGGTGTATTGTATATATGCTATTAATTGCATCTTGAGCCACATATGATGTTTGTTGCTTCAGAGTGGAGCATCTGGACATTATACTCCAAGTTTAATTCACCATACAAGCTTGCCAAAAACTTCTTCAGAAAAGGCAGTTGTCGAAAAGTTCTTGCGATTTCAACAAGACTCGATTCCTTGCAAGACACGTGCAAAAAGAGGATGTGCGACGCACCCGCGGAGCATTGCCGAAAGGGTACAAACATCTTAACTTTCATATAGTGATACCATTTTTTATCATTTTTTTCTAATTGTTTTAATATTGACTTCATAGGCATAATGTCTATAATGCACACCATGCATATAATTGAGTCTTAGAAAATTTAAATAATAAATGACATAATCATATAGGTAGTCATTGTCATCCATTAGTTCAACATCCTCATACACCTTAATTTTTACCATCTCAAAGTGATTCGGCAAGGTATTAATGAAATTTTACCTGACTATCAAGGGCAAATAATAAATCTCATCCAATGTATTACAATTTTTTAAATAAAAAAGGTATTCTAAATATATTCTTTTTTATTTGATTATATAGATATTTAATACTACATCTATATTCATTAACTCTACAAACTATACACATATATTTTAAATTTTCATGATAGCCTAAAAAATTGTATTGTTTAAACCAATTTATAGTTCGTAGTTAAGTCGTGTGTTTTAATTAAATAGTAACGTGAAAACCAAAAACTAATGATTTCATGCGACCTGATTATTTTAACTTAGATAAATGAAAACTGAAAATCATGAAAAGAAAATCTTTAAAGTTGGATTCGGGGTTCCATATGAAAATTGTGGGGTCGAAAGTTGGGCCAAACTACCATGGTTGTTTGTCATCAAGCTTGGAAAGCCAAGAGCTGCCTTTTCATGCATATCTTAATTATGAGCCCATAACTTCTAATGGATCCAGCGTTATGACGATTTTAAGTTGGGTTCCTTTATTGCTTGTTTTTCTTTCCCTTATAGGTCCATAAAAGCATCGACTAATGTGAAGGGTTAACATGTACAATATTTGCAGGTTAGAAGAACCCGAATAAGTGATAGAATGAAAAAGCTACAAGAGCTTTTCCCTACCATGGACAAGGTACATGTTTGGACCTCAACGATATCTATACTTTTAGTTTATTAGGAACCATGCTAGCTTCCTTATAATTTACTTACATTATAAGAGCATCCACAATGGTGAAGATATTTCACTAACGTTTTCAAAGAAAAAGGGGACCTACGAACTTAACTTGTCAAACAAAACAAGCTTGGGAAGAGTTTGTACATTTACAAGTAAAAAGGTGAAATCTATTGTCACAAGTTTTTTCCAATATGATGTGTTCAACAAGCTCTTCAAAAAGCTTGGAAAAATGTAGGTAATCAAGTAATCATGATGAAAACTGATCATGTTTTTCTTTAACCATTTGTAGCAAACAAGCACAGCAGACATGTTAGATTTGGCTGTTCAATACATTAAAGATCTCCAAAAGGATTTGCAGGTACACCAATATTATCATCAATAAGCCTCTCTTCTTTTTCTGCTCCAAAAAATGTCAAATCTAGAATGAATATAAACCATATTCATTCTATCAAGGAAAGGATTTACCTATTTTTATTTAATTATTTTCGTGAACTTTCTTTTGTCCGGCATGTAGACCCTCAACAATGCTCGAGCAAGGTGCACATGTTCAAGCAAATAATTACAAATAGGTTCGACCACATAACTTGCTTTCAGTTAAGCTTTAGCATTGAAGAACATGAAAAGATCCACAGGCCGGTGTGTAGCAAACCGTATGTATATTCATCCATTTTAAACTTAATTCATTTATATATGTCATTTAATACTCTAGATTTTCCTTATGTTATCTTTGATGTCATAATAAGTGAAAATATAATTAGGGTCCCGTATAGGATGAAAATTAAGATGGGACCCTTATAATAAGGTATGTGATCGATGTAAACAAATAATATCTTTTTTATAGACGATTGATATAGTTTAGGTTTATTAGATCACACATTCTACTTTGAGTTTGAGGATTATGGACAATCCCGGTCATCCAAGGTTGGACCGATGTGATTAGTTTTGTAAACACATGAATGCATATATATATATATATATATATATATATATATATATATATATATATATATATATTTGTCATTTGAGATTTTATTAGACTTATTTATGTTGATAACTCACTCAATCCTGATAACAATACCATTTCAACGTCATTTTATGATGCTAAATTAGCGAGGGAATTAGTTTTTTCGGAACTTCCCTCGCTGATCTGCGAGGGATCAGCGAGGGAAATTTTCCCTCGCAGATCAGCGAGGGAATGAGTTTTTTGGAATATCCCAGCGAGGGATCAGCGAGGGAATTTTTCCCTCGCAGATCAGCGAGGGAATGTGTTTTTTGGAATTTCCCTCGCTGATCTGCGAGGGAAAAATTCCCTCGCTGATAGTCGTCGCTGATACCTTGTTTTCTAGTAGTGGAAACCTGTGAAGACATGGTTACAAATTATTTTAATCGATCATGTTTATTTTTCCTATTGATAGGTTTGATGTACAATTATGTTTTCTAGAATCCTCTAGATATATTTTTTGGATCTCTATTTTCACAAATATGAAGCATGGTAAAGTTGATTCCTTAATCAATTATTAATGATGACAGTTTAATCATACATATGGTCTTCACAAACATGCAATTAGTTATACTTTTACAACTAGATGAAACTTTCCTTTTTGATTGAAAAAGAAAAGGAAAGGTGATTTGGTTCCACAAAAGGAGAAGTAGCCTTTCTCCATAAGAAATGGTCAACATTTAGCATTACTCTTGACTTTTGACCATTCTTTGAAGGTATTAACCTATTTGTAGATTATAATACTTTTTCTAAGTAAGAATTATACCTCTAAAAATCTTAGTTGTCATTTTTTTGTCGTATCATTGTCATCTTGATAAAATAAGAACTTTAATAAAGCACTACAATGAAGATTCTTACAAAAATCTCACTCTTCATTTAAAAATGTAATTTTATGTAACATCTCATCCCACATTTGCATATAATCCACATATTTCATATAACACGAAATTCAAATAATTACACACTTGTCTCAAATATAGAATTTTGCTGCATTATAAAAGTAGCTACATATTTTTTCCGTATATACACCGAGTACTAGTCTTGTAAACATAACAAGTTCTCAAATACAAGTTATAACATCCTCCAAAAATCCATACATGTAATGTAATCATGATCCCTTTACATTTTTCTCTTTCTATTATTCTCTGGTTGTGTCCGACCTATAATGTACATTTTAAAACACAAAAATGAGGGTTAGACCATAATGTCTATTGAGAAATCCATTTGATTGCTATTATAATGTGAAAATCACCAGAATACTTTTAGAATGCTCATATTCGTATAAATAATATATAAACAACGTTTTATCAAAACAAACTTTTTTATCGCATCATATAGATGAGACAACTTCATCTTATCGCATAAACCCATTGTGGTAACAAACTTGTCGCATTAAATAAACAAGTAATCATATTGTCGCATCTCATATGAAATACACCAACTTATTGCATCATACACATGCGAAAACCCCTTTGTCGCACCTCAAGGATGCGATAACATATTTGCTTGCACCTCCTTGATGCGATAACCCAACTTGTTGCATCATAAAAATACGATAATCACCATTTGTCGCACCATATAGATGCGATAATCGCAACTCATAGCATCAAGCATATGCGATAACTTATCTTGTCACACTACAAAGATGCAATATCCCCAACTCATCGCATTACACTGATGCGATAAAAATCACACTCATCGCATCATATAGATGCAATAACAGAATCCCATGATTAAAAAGATCATCATTTTCCAGATTTTGATTATGTCAGCCTTATCCCAATATACTCAGCTTTTGATTATGCCACCATTATTACAATATATATATATATATATATATATATCATGATTATGCCACTCTTATTACAAAAATATACTCATCTCCTGATTATGTCATCCTTATTATAGAAATATACACATCTCCTAATTATGCCACCTTTATTATAGAAATATACACATCTCATAATTATGTCACCCTTATTACAAAAATATACTCATCTCCTGATTATGTTACCCTTGTTACAATCAGATGATAAAATCATATCAAAACCCAAAATATATGCTAATAAAGCATATGATCACCAAATATTCACGTATGATACCTTACAGTTTCTTCACCAAAAACACTTTAAATAAAGTTTTAAAATTAAAACTCACCTTGTAATCACACATAGATGAAAATAATAAACTCGATAGCAACGAAAGTTAAGAGCAAATAATCAAATTCTTCCTCCTCCCTTCAGTTTCTGCTTTTGTTTTCTTGAACCAGAGTAAAAATACACGCACTTTTCTCTTTTTAATTTTTCCCAAAAAAGAAATATCAAGGCACTACTTCTCTTACACACACACGAGTGCGCACACACAACATACATACATATATATATATATATATATATATATATATAGAGAGAGAGAGAGAGAGAGACACGTTCAAACAAAAACCGTGCATTTCTTAGAAACCGTGTAAACTAATTTCGACCAATAGGAAAATTCCATTTTTTTCAAATTAAATTTAATTATTAAGGGTATATTGGTGATTTGAATTGTTTTCTATTAAATATGGAAGTTATTAATAAATCTTAATTAAGGTAACAAAATAAATGATTTTTTATAAATGGTAACATTTAAATATTTAATTAAATTATAATATTAAAAATTGAATTTTGTTATATTGTGTCTCGGTTTATTATTGCCAAGATTCATGAAAATCGTAAGTTATTAGATCAATAAATCCATGAAATCAGTAATAGAATAAAGAAAAATATTCATGAAACCGGTTTCATACATGGTGAAATTGGTGCATGGAGTAAGTGAAAATGATTATTGAATGGGTGCATGATGAAACCGGTTTCATACATGGTGAAATTGGTGCATGGAGTAAGTGAAAATGAATATGAAATGGGTGCATGATGAAACCGGTTTCATATAGGGGTGAGCAGCGAAACAAGGTACCCGGCTATGGGACCGGAACCGCCTTGGAACCGCTGGTTTCAGAACCGGAACCGATATGAGTGGTTCCGGTTCCGGTTCCTAAATTACGGAACCGATTGAGAATGGTTCCGGTTTCGGTTTTCAATTTTTCGGAACCGTTACCCGTCGGGTACCCGGTATTTTTCAACAAAAAGATAATAATAATTTTTTAATACCAAATTTATATTAGGTTTACATCTTGAAAGCACACCGTCATCTTCATTCTTCATCTAAATTCTTCATATAGAATGATTCGTATTTTTTCAAATTGTGTGTTCACGTGGATTCATAGTATGTAATCGTTAAACTTTAAACATTTACCATTATAATATGTAATCGTTAAATTTTGAACATTATCTATTAGTCTATTATGGTTTGTAATCATTAAACAATATTTGTAACAATTATTCTGTCTAATTTGTATTCTTGCTTATTTATTTAGCGTTTTGGCAATGTTTTATTTTTTATTTCTAAATAACAAAATTTTAATATTTTAGGAAGCGGGTACCCGGAACCAGAACCGGTTTTCGGTTCCAAAAATTTAAGAACCGCTCTAACCGGTTCCGGTTCCGGTTCCAATATTTCAAGAACCGCCGGTTCCGGCTCCTGTCTAAAAGGGCGGGTACCCGTATATGCTCACCCCTAGTTTCATACATGGCTGATGAAATGAGTGCATGAAGAAAGTAAAACCATTTCATAATTGATAAGAAAATGTTGTATAATTATCGAACAGTGAAACCAATTCATTATTACAATGAAACGGATCCATCTACCAATAACAGTGAAACCATTTCATAATTAGATTGAAATGGATTCATCTACCGAAAACTTGAAAATGACAAACGTCTCATCTAACATTACGTTGATTTGTGTATTGATGAAACTGTGAAACCATTTCGTTCATGAAATGTAGTAGTAATTTTTTTTTTATTATTATTCAAAAGATTTCATTATGTTAAATTGATTATAGTGTGTTTTATTTTTATTGTTGATCTATTTTAATGATGGATGTTATTTTTTTTATAATATTTGAACATAAAATTAATATATTATTTTACAAATGATTTTGTTTCATTAATATTACGATATACATGATATGGTTGCCATTAATATTACCACTACCAAAGTTACCATTTTTCCCTTTTTGGGATTATAAAATAATTTTTTATTTTTTTTATTTTCTTATATAACCTAAACTAATCTTGACAATTGATCAAGAAAATGGATGGATGAGATTGGTTTACATGGTTTACACAAATGAGAGCGATTTTCATTTGATCCCAAGTGTATATATATATATATATATATATATATATATATATATATANATTATATATATATATATATATATATATATATATATATATATATATAAACTTGAGATCATGTGAGACCAATGGTTTTTCGTGAGACCCGTAAGACCAATTCTCAACCATTGGATTAGATCTATAATGTGACAATCTAAACATTCATAAACGCCACGAAGTTTCTTAATAATTACCAAATTGCCACCGTGCAATTTAGATGGTTAGATCATTAACTTATAAAGTTAATTAATGAACATAGATTGGTCTTACGGGTCTCACGAAAAACCTATGGTCTCACGTGAACCCAACCCTGTATATATATATATATATATATATATATATATATATATAGGGGCTGGTTCAAATACTAACCCAAACTATCGTGCAAACTATGCTAACCGATCTTGATCGTTCATTTTCTCATCAAACGGTCCTTATTAAATGAGACTATAAAAATAATCATTTAATTAATGCATTAAATGAGATGTCTATGAACAACTGTTCAAAGGTTAATTTTGTAAAAAAATCGCATCACATCGTGAACCTATATTATTCAGACGATTTCGTAACCTCCAATCAACTACGAAACTGCCAATCTATACGATCAATAGTGTATATCATTAGCGAAAAATCTGGTTCATGATATTCATCAAAACGATGGATGATTTTGGCGAAATGCATA